GATTCGAAGAGCCCGAGGGAAGGCATTCCATCGACTGGGTATTCCAAAACTTTTCACGGTCGTTGTTAATCGGTACGGTAGACGGCGGATTCCCTCTCTAGGCAATAATTTCCTCGTTCTTAATGTTTGCCGGTGGACCAGTGTACACATACACGAACGCGTGTCCACGCAAGAATTCTGCGGGTATACGAACGAGATGTTCGCCACGAGGGGGAGGGCGAGAAAGAGAACGGGAAGGCCGAGTTAAAAGCCGCGTGAATTAGTGTTCAGGGTGGATGGAGGAGTTACAGGGTTGCCCCGTGGGGAAGTGGCCCACCAATTTTGGTATATCGCCTAATAACAGAGCAGGTAGAAGATGCCCCGGGTACCCCTACGATACGTACGCCCCTTATCCCGTGTACCGCCACCCATAACCCACCACCAACATTGCCCTCCGGCCACCGGATCCTCCTCGCTATGGAACGAAATCCGCTTCCAAACGAAATATTGTTAATTCGTTTAAATTATAACGCGTTGAAAACGCCTCTATAGGATTGTCTGACGTCCTCGAGCAATGCTCTCGACGATGACACTACTATTTTGCTCAGTACAAATCTAAAGGAAATACTTCACATATTTCAAGTTTTATTTTGCTAATTTATCTTCAGCATTTCCCACGATCGTTAACTATGGTATCGCTTAAAGTATCGCCATCGTTCCGTTTCCACGACCAATACGATTGGTTATCGTCGTACCCGGTGATCATCCAGGTGCCATTAAAATATTTCTTCGCGCAAATAGAGCAATCACGACCATCTCGTCCGGTTTCGCTGCGTTACGCAACATTTTAAACATTCGCGAAGAACGAGAAGACGCCCGGCGTTATAAAAGCAAGTTCAATGAAACCGAACGTCCGCTTCCATCGTGATAAACGAAATCGTTTCATCGTGATTTCAAAGAGCGAATTTTTTCATTTTCTTTCTCATTAGTAAAGATTAATAACCCCCTTTGGAAAACGACTCGTACGAGGTTCAAAGAAAAATCATAATTACCCGTGACCTTATGCCCGGACATCGAGCTTTGTAGAAAGTGGAGTTAAATTAACTACGGATCTACCTCTCTCGTGCAGAAACGGAAAGTCAGAAGTCGGTCTTTAGGGGAGTGAGTGATGAAGCGCGTAGGCAGAAACATTTTTTTCTCTTAATTGCACCGGTAACGCTCGAACGGTGTAATGTACCACTTCTGGCTAGCGAGTAACATTTTGTTTCGACCGCGGCTACATTAAATACTGTGTCCGGCGCCCTGTGTTTTCTTGTTTGTCATTAACGTACGCCCTTGTAAAGTGCTCGATTACCGGTGATCGATCGCCGAGAGGCAGTTCATTTGCCACGTAACCCTCAACTGTGAAGAATGTCCGCGGACGCGCGTTGAATCGCTGAATATCAATTTCAGGACGTAACGAAATTCTCGACGTAACGATAGACAACGACAGATTTCTATCGATCCTATGTTCGAACGATAGATCACCGCTGGATATATCGAACTATGACTGAGATGGCTGATGAATGTGATAAAAGTTTTACGCCCGTCTATCACTACAAATTGTTGGTACGCGGTCGTGATGTTCAGTTGAATGATGCCCGATACCTTATTTCGCCCGTCGCTTGTTTCCATCCTTAATGTTAACGTCCGCGACATCTAATTAAAGGGAGTCCCGCGAACACGGGGATATAATTTACAAGCCACGAAGTTCCTTGGGCAAAGCTCGCTGCGGCTGATAGACAGCGCTCGGCTAGGATGAATAATTGGCCAGTTACGTGTGCGAAGTGTCTTCGACTTAATGACCTCGGTGTATGGCCGCGCGGTAGCCCTCGAGCTACACCGTGTTTTACATTTCACGAAGGATGTACGAAGTGGGATTAAGGTCGATTCACATTTAACGACTAGCCACGGTATCGGAATCAATTCTAGCGCTTATAACGCGGATAAAAAGCGGATAACCAGATGGAATTGATCTAACTTTTAATCCAATTTTACCTATTTTCTATTCGAGATAGAACATCGAGGACAGGTAAGGCGATCCTATTGTGAATCGAGCCTTACGTCTGAAACATCAATCAGTAGCAAAGTAATAGCCAGCTCTAAATCGTCGTGATCAAAAAGACCCGCGGTGTTTCGCGTGCACTTAATGGCGGGATCGTCGGATAAAAAAAACTCGATCCGAAGAGTCTCGCTTGAAAAGAGAACATACTCGATACGTACCGTGCAAGTTGCAGCCGCGCCAATCTCTAGCATCGCGTGATACCATCGTCGAAAATATGCCAATATCGGGGAACGTTTCCAACGGTCGACGCGACGGCTAACGTGGGCGAAAGGGTGTCCTTTTCAATGTAAATCGTTTGCTCTGTGTTTGCTACAGATTGGTCCGTATGAATGAATTTCGCAACGGCCAATATCCTCCGGGCAACGAAGGCCGCCTCTTATTATTGCGATAAACCTTTGCGCGTTTACACGAGACAATATCTACGAGGTATTGTGTCCTGGTGGTCCTAAATCATATGGAGAATAAATAACCGTTTGCTCCGTAATTTCCCAGAAGTTCGCATCGGTACGAATGTTACTGAGCGATTGATATTGACGAAGCGAATCGAAGGAACGTGGGCTGATCACGGAACTTTATCTACTGAATTTCGTTCACTAATGCAGGGTGATTCTCTCGATAGTGTACTCAAAGGAAATGCCGCCACACCATTATGAATGGACCCAAGCCCTTTTCTGTCATTGGTATCTCGACACGGGGTGTATACTACAGCTGTACGCGTGAAAATGTGTCCTTTTCGTTTCCTTTTCGCATAAACTAGGACTATAACTTACGGGTACGACACGGGTACCCTAGTAATTTTGTCTACCCGGTTATCTTACGGATAGCCGGTCCGAATCAATAGCCCTGATACAAACATCAACGAGCAGAAAACCGACGTCTTTCGCCGCGATCTCGATGGCAATTAAGCCGTATCGCAGCGCATCATTAAATCATAAGCCTTCGACAGCCAGTTTCATCCGCGGGATTTCACTCTCCCACGCGCCAAACAGTCGTTAATTTGCCACCGAATAAAACCGAGCCTCCGGCTGACTCTCCGCGATCCCGATCGATCCTCGTGCTCGATTCAAGAAACAATCCCAGTTCTGTTCCATCGGTCTGCCATTAATGCCCGTCGAGATGGCCAATTACGATCGGTAATTTCAGATTTTCTCTACCCGGTGGTCGTGGCGATGAGAACCGAGTCTTATTTCGCGCGATGCGCGTCACGTTTTCGAAACACGCAATATTCGCGTCTTTAATTTTCCTCGTTTTTAATTTCTTAATGAAGGACAACTGACACCCTTCACCTTCATAATTGCTCTAGCGTCGACTAGCATTATTCAATTGGATCGAGTTAAATATCGTCGGCGTAAATGATAAATTAATAATTCATCCCAGAGTCTTATTAAAGTGTCTGCGAGTGCATCGTAATTGAGACACCGGTTAAATCGATACCTTCTGTCAGAAAAGAGCGCCAGTCATTTCGCTCCTCTTAATGACTGTACGTGATGGGCATAGCGATAGTTATCGAGTCTTCTCCTACTGTATTTGATCGTGTTAATGGCTTTTTTATGCAAGTTAAACGTTTGTTAGAATTGCACCGGCAACCTGTTCGTAATTGTAAATAATTTTTCTCTAACACTTAATTTACTAATCGTTGGTAACGAAATTGATGCGCGTAATAATGATCGATTCGATCGACGAAAGCGTCGAATATTTCACTTAATCGTAGCCGAAAAGGGGATATTTGTAGCCGGTAGAAAATGACGAAGACAAAAATGCAATATCTACAGGCGAAAGCAATTAACAGGATGCTCATTACACGACGCGTCTGCACGAAATTGCCCCACGAACCGATAATCATTCTAAAATAGACGAGTATTGCCCACTTTTGGTAATGGAGGTCTTAAGTGCTGGGTAAAACGAGGCCTCGTGAAAATGATTTACCATTTTTCTGAAAAGCACCTCGCTTCGTGTACCTACGTACACGTGTACAAAAGAAATTGGAAACAGGAAATGGACATCCCTTTGTACCCTTTCGGAACTTCATATAATTTACATACAACGTTTCCTGTAATATTAAGGAACGTCTAAAAAAAAGATGAAATTATGCAGAAAAGTTTGATTATAATACACTCGCGATATAAAAGAAGTAGGAATTCTTAAAATCTTAATTTTCACGATATTAATATCGAAATTAATTTAGAAAACGAAACGATATAATTTTAAATTGTTAAATATTCTAAGATTTAGTATTATATACCTATAACTGTAAAATATGAATGGCAAACAAATATCAATTCAAATTTTATAAGTTTACACCAGCAACCACCAAACTACGGCCTGCAGATCGGATCCGAGCTTCCAAAAATTTTATAAATATTTTATATAAGAGATATTAATTTTATAAAATTTTATGATTTGGTTGTGAATACAACGATTCTTCTATTGTTCTATCGTGATTTGGTACATTTTAATAGACGTTTCCCATTATAAATTCCAATATAAACTATATTTGCTTACACGTGCAATGTAAATTAATGTTCTAATAGGATTTCAATAAAAATATTTTTCTCCCGGCCCCCATGTTTTTAAAAATTTCAATTTTTCATACAATTTTTCCCGGGAAAGCCTGATTTGATCGCGAGTGTACATAAATAGCTCGAAAAGCTTTTATCTACCATAAAATGATTGTTAAGGGTGTACGCGAGGGAACACATGTTCGCGACACGAGTTCGCCCACATTGTCTACCCACCTTTTATATTCTTGATTTCTATTGCCAGAAAAGGCCTACGCGTGGGTGTACGAAATTTCTGCTCGCCTCTTACTAGGTCGTACGCATAAAAACGCGAAATCGAGTCGGCATAAAAATGTGCTAACGCCGTTGTTACATCGAACAATGGGGCGAAAGGAAGAAAATATTGTATCGGAACTCACCAAGACATCCTGCAACAGTTCGTGTTCGTCGAGAAGTATCACCTTGCAGTGAAGAAGACGAGGCCTACGGCTTCCGGTCGGCCTAAGACCAGGACAGAGCCACTCCACCACCATCTCTTCCTTCGGCAGCCCTTGTTTCCCTTCTGATTCCCTTCCTCGCTTTATTCGTTCATCCGCTCATCGGTTTCGGTCATCCTGAAAGACGAGAACGACGCTGTAATCCGATGAAAAATGGCATACGCCGATACACGAACCAGTTTCACCTTCCACATCATCTTGGAACAAAGAACTAAATAATAACCATTTGAAAATTCCAGGAAGGGTTATTCGAAAGCTTCCAAAATGAATATTTTTCAATGAAACCTCGATGTTAAGCCACGTGCCCCATCGATAATTCGTTTTAACCGGATAAGCCTGGTAATGTATCGGGTTCTTGGAACGTCAAATGAACGGGGAGGCAGTTTTAACTGAATCAATTAAAATTGTGCCATACAATGCCCGAATAAAGAGTCGAATTAAACCGAACTGATGTCTTTGAAGCGGAGCTGCGTGTTCGCCAATGGGATAATGAAACGCTAACGAATCGCAAAAAGCAACGGGCTCGCATTAAGCGAAATGGAAACCGTCTGGTTGATCGGTTAACGAAAAGGATTCGATTGTTAACCAGCTGAATATCCGACGATTGCGCGAGTGTAAAAAAATATGTGGGTTAAAATCGATGAAGCAAGCTCGTGCTGGCGACGATAAATTATCCGCGTTGCAAATGTTCACGGTGCAGAAACGCCGAAAACACAACGAGGCCCATCGACGCGTCTGTTCGAAGGGTATCAGGCAAATTTATGCACGCCCCTATCCGCGCATAATTACCGCGCTATGAGCATTATTTACATAACGAGTTTAAGTAACAAACATCGCTGTGAAATCCTCGTGGCAGCCAGCCCGCTTAACCCGTTAAACGAGCAGGACGAGTTAACTCGTCACTCGACTGACCAACATTCAGCGGGTAATACCGTACTCGCGAGAATCGGCGAGGATCCACGGATTTTGACGATCGAAATTGATTCTGAGACTGGTTCCTCTCGATCCGGAGGTCTCTCTAATATGTTTTCCACACAAGAAAAATATCGTAAACAGCTCGCTACTCGCTACGGCTACCCGGCTGTACCGTTAGCTCATAGTTCCTCGTACGCAACATCTCGAATACGATTGCCTGCCTATCAGACGTACGTCCGTTCACGGTAACGTACGCGTATGCCAGCCTCTGCCACTTAAAATACCTTCGAGACCTGCTGGCATGCGTTTCTCGATGGCTGATACAAAAAACCGTAGCGAGCCTACGCGAAATCAATATGTAGATGCTTGGAGGCTGTATCGATGATGCGGGTGATCCATATTTATACAGGGGGTAAATTTCACTCGACGGGGTGAAGAGTAGATTGAATACAAACTATGGGTAGATGCTGAGGACAATTGAGAGAGATTAAAAGAAACAAGTGTATGTCACTCAAGGGATTGTTTCAACCCTTAATCATCGGACAAAAATGTTGAAAAAAGAAAAAAAAATGAAATATCTTAAATAGTTTCCGAGAAAAAAAATAGTAAAATTTTGGATTGTTACCCTCATATCTCCCTTATCAGAGGGAGTAGGAGGTTGAAATTGCACACGGCTTATACTGCTAGACCTTTTCCCGCCTTTCAGTGGAATCGAGGAGGATCAGGTCGGGGGGTGTCCGTGTGTATAAGCTTCCAGTAAACGAGCCGCTGGCCAGGTCAAGGATGTCCGCTAATGATACACACGAATTATCCATCATTACTGGGATGCGACTATATCGACGGTACGGTATCCCATTGTCTCGTGGCTATTTATAACGCATGGCTATTCGCGTAGGTCGCGGTTGATGCACGATCGAAAGGAAGGACCGATTAAAAAGCGAAGGTAGCGGACGCCGCAAGAAGGATTTCAAGGGTGTACTGATAAATGTACCGGTATATAGGCGAGAGTAAATCATCGAGGGACTTCTTGCGCCGTTCGGTACCCGGTCGGCGCAATTTAAATATTTAAACTCATTAGCCGGGGCAAAATTACGAAGCGCCTGGAGACCGAGCGTTTTGTAATCGTCCGGTGTATTTCAATCGCGGTGATTTGCAATTGAATGTTTGCCTGCGAGTGGCCTCTTCATTTTACAATGTTCAACGGCGTTTCGACTAGCCTGTGCCCCGTTGTCGGTAGGAGGGCTCCTCCTCCACCACCTCTCCTTCCTCCTCGCCCTTCGTCCCGCCACGTACGAGCCGGACTCAAATAAAAATTACGCATAAACGTTGGCCGGCGCACCGAGCAATATATCAAGCCTGAAAAGAATGTCCCTACGCTCGACGAATCGCTAAGAAAATTAATGGCTCGTGCTTTGCATTCTCGAGAGAAGCTTTGAATACCGAAGGTATTCCGAGTAGCCTTCCAGGTTCTGGCAGCGACCGACTTCGACCGCCGCGAACGGCTCCTCCTGGTTCATCCTCCGCGTCTCCTCGCTTTTTCCTACATGTTCACCTTTTATTCATTAACTCGCGCCGTTCCCCATTATCACGCCCTCTGTTGAATTATTTTATTCGATCTGACGCCTGATAAAAAGTAGAACCTCGACGTTCGAACAGCGACGAATACGAGACATTGGAAAGTAACGTTACGATACCGAATCGAATTCATTAGTCATCGGAGAACGACGTTATCTCGTCCAGCATACCGATGCATTGAGAAATCGGTATATTAATTTCGATACGATCTCGTCCACCTACCGACGTTCCACCTTGACGTATCGTCCATCTAGGATTTTAGATCGCGTACTCTTTTCCACGCTACCGAATGTCGTTTAACCGTTTCCCATTCGTTTGTTCAACTTTTCCCGATGACTATACGAAAATCAGGGTCACGCGTTCTCGGCGATCCTGATCGTTTCCCGTCACGTATACGTATACCGGTAAGGATTCCTGACCGACAGACGCCGCGCGGCGGGGCCGCCTGTCTCTCGCGCGGAAGGTCAACAGTCCAAGTACACCTTTTGTCCTCGGTGTCGCGTGAAAAATCGTGGATGCTCGATGTGCCGAACCAACGCCGCTGAGTGCCATTGAACTCGAACGAGCCGGAGCACGAGCGGCTTCGATGCATTCGTGGAACGGGTTTCGAATCCAGAATCCCTGAATCTGTCCCGGGGATAATAGAAACTGACGGAGCTTAACAAATTGCCACGGTTTAACCCGTATCGCGGGATTAATCGATCAGAGGTCCGCCTTGATCAATTAACGCGTTCGTTTGCCGGCGAACCGTGACACAGTGTTGTCCCGATTCGAGTAACGATTCGCCAAATGATCGCGATTGCTTCGTACAAAGCTTACTACACGAGATGTGCCCTTCGGTTAACCGATGCCGAAGCAGCACCGAGGATTATTGTGTCCCTTAGGAATCTTTGCGATTGCGCTTGATTGCCTTGGTTGAAAGGGGTTCGAATTCAAAGGAAAGTAAGATAAAACTTTCTTACGTCTAAAGTTAGCACGGCTGAAGTTTGCGTGGTAAAACGAGCGAATCGAATCCCTTCGGCTTATTCGCAATCCTTTTTTTCCCTCCTCTTTCTATCCGCATCCTTCCATCGGAGCGTCAGGAAGATCTCCGCTGCTTATTTTATTCGCGCACAACTGTCCGTGGAAAAGAAGCGCGACCGCGTAGTCCCCATAATTGGTGCTCACAGCTAATAGCCCATTGTCTACTGCGAAGAAGTGGGAAAAATGTTTCATTTATCCGAGACGTTTTCAGCAGGCGCATCGGAAGAAACACGACGTCGACGACGCGTTTCGGAATACAATACAGGAGTGCGCCCTCGTCCCACGTTAAGCATTCGTCGATACGTTTTTCCCATCGATGAGACAAAGGAGGTGAATCGCGTAATCCCTGTTTCTGCTTATTTTCAGACATGGACCTCTTGACAGAGACCCTGTCGTAAATTAGAAACCGAACACAGTATCTATGTTCCGAGAGTTTTGGCGGGCGAGAAGAATAGGTACGTACCTTGACCGCGAAAATCAGATCCCGGATCGAAGGCACGCTGTCGCCGCGTTGATCGATGCAGCCCGTCTCGTTGGAAGGGTCATCACACTTCCGGTGTCTTGTAGGATCCACAGAAATTCTTCGTTTCCACGAACCCGCGCACACCAGTGTCACGAACAGAAACGAGCGACGAACGAGGAGCAATCGAGGAATAAGAAGCGCGAAAGAGAAACGTGTATCGGTTCGTCTCACTGTACGCGGATGAACCGATCGACGCGACGGTGCTGCGTGCACTGTGACATGTCAGGTGGTGAATTTTCGTCTGGTCGCCGGAACTCGAGAGGAACGGAAACTCGCCGCGACTTGAACTGACCGCGCAGGGAGAAGCCAACGCGGAGGAAGGAAGTCGGATCGGCGATCGATGACACCGGTGGATTAGAGAGGCAGGGAGAGCGCGGAGGAGACAGCCAGGCGAAGGAGAGGAGGATCCAGGCGCAGAACGACGAGCGAGGAACGCCGGATCAGGGCAGTGGCTTGGCTCGGATCAGACTGAGCCGAGTCAACCGAAGGATTCAGATGTGCCTTTACCTTGCGCGCCTTCCTTTCCTTTCCTTTCCTTTCCTTTCCTTTCCTCCGCCGCTATCTCGCTCGCTCGCACGCACCGACGTCTTGTGTGCTGTTCACTCTGTTAAATCGTGATAGCGTGGACAGTGGCGTAGCACTCGGCTCCGAGCACTCTTCGTGAATGCTACAACAGAAATTGCAAACCGTCACGCGACCGCCTAAACCTTTCCAACAAGATTGTCTCGCGATTATGCTTGCTTACGCTGTCAAGGACCGTACGATTTTTCAACGAGGAATACCGCGATCAAAGGGAACGATCCTCCGTCGCGTATAACGTTGAATATGATTCAAAAACTATATTTCGCTTCGTAGCTGACAGGCTATACAGTGTACTTTTGACTAAAACACCAAATATTTCGGTTAGACTCGTGTCCCATCAACAAAGGGTGAAACTGAATCGCGCGCCCTTTTAAACGCGCCCTTTCCTACTCCGTAGGAATGATACGGCACTGCGCGTAAGCATAGCTTAGCAAAGCGTCTGTCCCTATCTCAGCCGCTACTCACCTTCGTCCGTGGAGGAGTCCGGTCTCGTGCCCGCCATTCTTCCTAATACTTTGGTGCACGCCAACAGAAAAAAAGACTCCTGGTAAAAAGGTGGTGCACCATAATGCCCCCTGCAATCCAGTTGACTTCCGAAAAATAAAAGGAAACGGGCGACACGAATATGAATAAAAAGAAAGGGAAGAAACGAGGTACCTTTTGAAGACGTCTTCCTTGAACATTAAGCCACTTTTCTGAATGATATGCTGCCACACCGGCTCTCGAGAGCTTTTTGTTAACGAATTATGAGTTATACGAGAAAGGTTAGAGAAACCGGGCAATTTATTTGCTTCGAGACGAGGTAAATTGACGCGAGAGCGTCCTATTTAAAACAGGTGTTACAGGTGCGTGTTTCAACCAACGAGCGTAGAGCTTTCAAACGTTGTCGACGATCTTTTGTCAAGACTCAGGATGATTCACTGTTTCAAACGCAAATTATATTCACTGAAACACGTGCGCACGTTTCCTTGGCGCTCGAGAGCTGTTTCATCGAGCTAATGCACGAGGAGCTTCAATTGCAATGAATTGCGTGTCAATGTCTTGCTAATTACAATGTCGATGTAACTGAAAGGGCTCGTGTTAACCGCTGAAAAGTAATAAGATACTATGTATTTCAGAATTTTGAAAGGGAATACTTTAACCTGAGATATTAATGATACGTATCCATACAAACCTCTAAAGATAATTATTAATCAACTTTGCAACAGAAAACACTTTTCTAAGTTCCACTTCTTCAAGCTTATCTATTAAGTTTCCAAATAAAGCACGAGTACTTACATTTTATGTCAGACGCCATAGTTATTTTATACACAAATACACACGATGTTTTTAAATTTAAAATAGCATGCGCCCTCTGGGAAATGGTACATGTGGCACCATATAGCGAAAAAAATTGAAACTAATTGCGTAAAATTATAAACCCTTCTTTCTTGAGTCGATAAGATGGGAAACTATAGTAGCGTCATCTAGACATATCTGTTTTCTGTAATAAGAAAATGAAATATCAAAAATTTAATGTCAGTCCTATAAGTATTAAGTGTTTTATTTATTGTCACAAAAAATAAGTGTTACTTTTTACTCTGTTGTAGAGATGTATACCTAAACACATGTTTGGAAGGGCGTTGATTTGATTTCAAATTCTTTATGTTTTGACCTGCATAGCAATGGCGGATTGTATGTTTATCACATATTTCATATTGTCACTAACATTTAAATTATGTATAGGTAGGTGATAAAACTGTCTACATGAATTAAAACTTGATAATTGTTTAAAGACAGAATGTCTTTTCTTTTTCTGTGTGATTTTCTAATAACCTGTAAAATATTTTTGGTTATCAGCAAATATACAAGTTCTTTAACAACTTCTTTAATTCAGTGTTTACTTAGTTTCTCTTGATTTTATGATACAACTTCAACTGTATTTTAGTAATTAACAGAACTTATTTTCAGGACAAAAAGAAAAACTTACTTTGTTGGATTCTCTTGATAGTGAAGAACCACAAAAATCTATAGATACTTTGGATTCTAATGATAATATTGGTGGGCATCAACGTTTTAAATGTCATAGTTGTGAGGAACCAGACTGTTTATATCAAGAAGTCTGCTATAATGCTGTTACTGTAATATTCTTTATACAATAATGTATCAAATTATTAGAACAAGAAACCTAAGATAAAGTAATGTTTTTCTTTTAATTTGATAGTGTTATAAATCTAGGGTAAGACAATCAGATGGTACAGAAAGTTTAAGTAGAGGATGTACTGATTCGATAGATCAAATGTTATTTACATGCAATAAGCAATTACCATCAAGAGTAAATCAAAACAATAGCAGTAAAAAAAGGCATGTGAGTAGTTCTGGAGGTGAGCTATATTATGTTGAATGTTGTCAAACAGACTTCTGTAATGATGGACCATTTCCCTTATTAAATAATTTTAATCAAGGTAGGTCTATACAATATTGATATATTTTTTAATATGCAAATATCTAACTCTTCTGATAAAATGATACATGTCATTTTAGATGTTGAAGAAAATTATGCAATTAAATTGACACTAGCAATTTTGGGTCCAATGGTAGGATTCTGTATTATTACTGGAATTCTGTTATTTTATTTATTGGTATGTAGGACCCGTAGAAAGAGGACTTTGGCTGCAGGACGTAATAAACTTGTCATAGATTCTGAAATGGAACCATCTATTTTACATTTCTCATTTTCCTCTCCAACATCTACTACCATGAATCATTCCCATGAGCTTAGAGCAACAGCAGCTGGTGACAGTACATTGAAGGTATAAAATAAAATGATACATTTTGTCAATTTTCAACTCATAATGCTTACTTGGAATGTTCTATTAAAACAGGAATATTTAGATGGAAGAAGTTTAACAAGTGGTTCAGGTTCCGGTTTACCATTATTAGTTCAAAGAACTTTGGCTAAACAAGTAACATTAGTAGAGTGTCTTGGTAGTGGCAGCAATGGTGGATTTGGTGGAGAAGTTTGGAGAGGAATATGGCATGGTGAAAATGTTGCTGTAAAAATATATTTTTCACGAGATGAAGCAGCCTGGGCTCGTGAAACGGAAGTTTATTCTCAGCTCTTACCGTCAAGACACGATAATATTCTTGGATATGTGGGAAGCGACATGACAAGTAGAGCGAGTTGCACCCAACTTTGGCTGGTAACTCATTATCATCCAATGGGATCACTTTTTGATTACTTAAATCGATCACGACATTCTTTGACGCATAATCAAACGTTCAGCATCTGCTTGAGTATTGTCAATGGTTTGCTGTATCTTCATACAGAAATTCATGGTACTAGAGGAAAACCAGCTATGGCACACCGTAATCTGAAATCTAAAAATATTCTTGTTAAAACTAATGGGAGTTGTGTAATTGCTGATTTTGCGTTAGCAGTAACGCAAGATCGCCTATCTACAGATAGAATTGATTTGAAACAAGGCACAAAACGATACATGAGTCCGGAAATTCTTGAGCAAACGTATGTAACAGAACAACCTTTGAAAGTTATATGTAGTGGCACCGAGCAAAATTGGAAAATATAGTTTGAAATAATTTCAGGATAAACACGGAATGTTTAGAGAATTTTAGACGGGCAGATATTTACAGTTTAGGTTTAATACTATGGGAAGTTTGTCGAAGATGTATAAGCAATGGTGTTGGACTAGAATATGTTGCACCATATTCAGAATGGCTTTCTAATAATCAAGAACCTTCTTTTGAAGAAATGAGAAAACTAGTGTGTTTGGATCAACATAGACCACCACTTCCTAATAGATGGCACTCTGATTCGGTAATTATAAAACATATTTTTGAATATTCTGTTAGCTGTAACATACTAGTTATTAAATTATTTTTATTTCACAGACACTGGCCGGTTTGGGAAAATTAATGAAAGAATGTTGGCATGGGAAAGCTGCAGCGCGTTTACCTGTTCTTAGAGTAAAAAAAACACTTATTAAATTAGCAGCTAGTGACATGCGTGTTCATTTATCTCTCGATTAAGCATATATATACATAATTTGCGGTTTTTACGATGTGGATCGCTTTTTTTATATATATACACAGGGTATCCAAAAAGTAGTCTATGTCGTAAAAATCGCAAATTCTCTACGTTAAAAGAAATCGAAAGGTCCTGTACCATTTTGCAGTTAATATCAAAGGTTATTTTAATTTCTAATTAGTTATATATCTAAAACAGAATTGCAAAGTGGAAAAGGACTGTTTGATTTCGTTTAACGCTTAAAATTTATAATTTTCACAGTGTACATTACTTTTAGAACATCCTGTATAAACGTCATATACACAAGGTTTTCAGCATAATTGTCCGCATGATTTTTAACACATTTCTGGTAACCTGACAGAGATATATTTTGTACAAAAGTTTACGTTTTTTTCGAAGAAACAAGTGTTTCTTACAAAAACTTTAGTATAAAATCAATGTCAGGTTGTCACAAGCGTCTTAAAAATCGTACATAGCGTTAATTGAACGCTGTGTAACACGTATTTATTAACACCAGAAAAAAAATCTCTTTATTTTGTTCTATAGATATACTTTTTCGCGAAAATAAGAATAAAACTTATACAATAAAAATTGTACATTTAAATGCCATGATTCTGCTGGATCTAAATGTAATATTGTATGCTATAGTTGAAAACGATACTCTTGTAGTCTATATTATGTTCTTGTATATCATATGCAATGGATTTTATAGCAACATATTTTTCTTCTATTTAGATAGTTTTAAAAAATTACCATAATTTTTATATTCCATATAACCGTGTGAACTTACATATATTTCAGGACGCCATCATAAGTACACTTATTATTAATCCCATTATTAACGTTCATTAATATTCTCATTTTCGAAATTGTATAGTATTTTTAAATAAGATTGTGTTTCATCTATTAAAAATAATGTTTTTAGCTATTAACGTTATATTATGTACAGTTTTGTAAAATTAGATTAATATTATATTTTAAATTTTAACTAAATTTATGTGTGCTTCGATTTATTGCGAAATTTTTATTTCAGTTGCAACTAAATTTTTTAATTACATTTTCATAAATTATATACATTACTCCGTATACCCATATAATGGTCCTTCTAAATATGCTTTTTTCATGTCCAGAGAATTTCTACGAATTCGTCGTCCAACTGGTTCTAAATCATTATAACATTTATCAAAAACTTGCATTACAGCTTCTTTTGCTACATCTTGTGACACATTTTTTATAGCAACTACTGATCTAACAGCTTTATCCTGGACACATCTCTAAAAACAGATGATGATAGCTTAGAAAAAAAAACTTGTAGTATTTATATTCTAAAATTGTATAGCATAAAATTATATTTCCATGTGGCATAATTATCTTTCACCTGATGTGCTTTTTTGATGTTAAATGGTGAAGCAGTTTGTCTGGCAAATGCACCAAGAAAACTGCAATGACATAAATTGGCTGCTCTTATTTCTGTGCAAGCTAAATGCTTTATATTGTTTAATTCTACATTATTACGACAGCAATCAAACATATGAATCATTTCATGACCCAAAGTGCTTTGAACTCTGTTTTTACTAGTAGCAGTATTTTGACAAACTATAATCTGAAATAAATAAATGAGTAAATATAAGGTATGTATTAATTTTGTTAATAATGCTCACCTGATTTAAAGCTTGATCATATCCACCTGTTACCCTTTCATCGCATATTTCACAAGAAATGTGACGACCAATATCAATTTCACTGAAACAATAATAAATATTTTTCAGTACACACTTTAATTAATTTTTTAAAATGAAGACAAATAATTACCATCCTGAACTTTTTAATGCTGCTACCATAAGTTTGATTAGAGGACCTGAAACAAATTGAACTTTTTTATTGTTTCAGTAGAAAAATTGAGTCATATATAAAAATTACAATATAAACATAGAAATATATAATATTGCTTGAAAAAATAAATATGAAAACCTTACTGTCTTTTAAACAGCTATAAACATTTGTTTCACATTTAATCTTGTCAAAGCTCTCAGATCTGAAGAAAGGAATTTTGCTTATCCAACTTTCTGGTGAAGAAGCATTCTTTCTTCCTGGATAAAGATCAGAGTAATCTGCTTCTGTGTTATTATTTTTAGCTGGAATTGATTCTTCATCGCTTTTACCAGTCATAACTGTTACACATGTAAAATAATTAGTTTATATAAATTGATTTTTTATTTCTATATAAAAGCTGTTTCGGCACTGAACATGTAGATTATAACGTGAGTTTACTCAACAACTTGGGAATATATACATATGTATATATTTAAGTTGATGTAATGTTAGGATCACGTGATATTAGCTTTTACAAGTAAAATTTAGTATGTTGTTTTACTTAGGAAAAACTAAATTTAAATTAATTAAAATATTACAAGAAATAAATTATATTTAATGATCTGTTTATCCACTGCTTTTCAACAGGTATTGTTTCTTTCGCGTGAGAATGGTATTCCGCGCAGCTCGACTGATTGTGAGCTTAGAAAGTCCTCCCACCTACTCCCTTACATCGCTCATATACATGGTGAATAAAATATACTCAATGTTGGAACTCTGCGCCCTACACTCAATGAAAATCATAATTCATAAGTTCTTGATCACTAGGTATATTTTCCAACAAGCGTGTAGCTCACAACACACGGTTGTACGGCGCTTGCGTATCACTTTTCGGAGCGGAGTGTGGCAAAACAAAATTCATTCATTCGATGGTACTATTCTCTCGTGAAAGATACAGTATATATATAATATATATATTTAGAGTTTATTATTATAAATCTGACAAAAATAAATTAGAGATTAATTAAAAAAATATATTTTTTGTAAAAATTACAGCATCGATAATAGCTGTTACCGAAAATGTATTTAATTTTTTATATGTAATACAATTAACTTTCTATTTGATGTCAGATACATTATAATATACATACATATTTATATAAATAATAAGTACAAGTACTTTAAAATTTGTTTGGAATGTATAGTTATCATTAACTGTAGAGACTCATCCACAAATGAAAACAACAAGCATTCACAAACCCTTCAATTAGATTATAAATATCATCAATATAACACGAAGAATTAATTACTTCTTCTGATTTACAATAAACTGCATACAAGTCCTAGAAACAGGGATAAAATTATAAAATTTATTAATATAACATTTTATCTATTACTATATTATTAACTTCTATTATTATGTGTAATATCTGTAAAAAAAGAAATGATTACGAACCCCTCGAGATGCATGTAAATCAATGGTCAACATCATAAAAACTTGAAAGAAACTTGGATGTAATATAAGAAGATGAGTAATGTTTCCATCTGGTGTATTGAACTGCTTATGCTGTTCTTGATATTTGTTTTGCAAAACTTTTGATAACGTTTGATACCAAGAAACTGGTTGATTAACAAATGGTCTGAGCCTTGGATCCAAATTTGACAAAGGCTCGACATGAGCTAAGTTGCAAAGTTCAGAGAATTCTATATAATTCATTGTAGATTTACTTTCCAACAACTTATTCCATAAGAGATGTGTTCTACATTGAAGTGTTCCTCGTTCTATCATATTCATTATATGCATACGAGCTGCCTCTGCCTGCGACATTATTGTTTCTTGCATCAATTGTTCGTGCGATGAATAATAGCCCAAATAATTAATTGATTCCTGTCGTATTTGAATCAAGTGCGGCGATGAAGTATTTATTGATACACTTGGAGGATTTACATTTTGTGTCAGTGGAGAATTAGGTACCGGCGGAGGTATTGGCGCACTCGTACTATTATAACTACTGCTAAAAGTTGGACTAGATGCTTTAGTATCATTTTTTTTATCACTTGACTCCTGACTGCATTCTTGAAAAATTGAAAAAGATTCTTTGAAAATGTCCGTAATAGATTCAGAATAAGTATTTGGTACAGACTTTTCTATACTGTATACCGTGCGAAACTTTCCAAGTTTATTATTTTCTACTTCTCTCTTTGGATATAATTCTCTTTTACTAGTTAACATTAAATAATATTTTAATGTAATTTCTGATTTATCTCCTTGTGAAGATTGTTCTAAATGTGACACGATAAGTGCAACATCGAAATCGTCGGTATACTTCGTATCTTGTGTATCACAATGACTAATCAATGGAGTACTTTTTAAATTTACTAAGACATATTCACTTTCTTGAGCATCCTGATGATCATTTTTCATTACAAACACGCGCATGTTATAGGTCTTTTCATGAGATAATAAATAAGAATAGAGGATGCGACCTGGTATGGTCAAATTGCGAATAGTCACTATATCTAAAACATGAACAAATGATTTTTAAATTAATTACCTGTTAATAATAGTTTTTCACTTATATTTATAACAACATTTACCACTATATATAAGATTTCTCGCGTAATTTGGCGCTTTGCTGTAATATTTATTGAAATCATCAAGAAAATGGATAAGATGATAGCCTTGCTGTAATGACCAAGATCCACTACCAGCAATATATGAATGGATGCAACGTAAATGGAAATCGTACGTAAATGAATGCAAATGCATATTGATCTTGATTTTGTCACATGCATCCACAAAACTCAACATAAACTGTAACAAATTTAAATTTCATTATTAGACATACAACAATTTATAGTACTTGCGTGGTCTTATATTACTTACTTGATTAATTAAAGCGCTGCTAGTTTTTGTTTGGAAACGACTGCATTCAATAATATGTAATTTAACAATGAAAAATGGTTGGGATAAATGAATTTCAAATAGTAATACTCCTCCAAGCATTGACTTTTTGAGATAATAAGATTGTTGTTGAACTTGCTTCTCCGAACTGTAATTATACATATAAATATTATTAATTATTACTATGTATATGTAATTATATTATTTAATAAAAAACTTCACCTTTTATCTACTGCTTCCAGTTGAACAGGACTAAAGCCCAATATTTGAAGATATTGTTTGTATTCAGATAACATTAGGCTACATAATTCTTGATGCCATTTTACAAGGTCTGTTTGTTCACTTTGATTCTTTCGTTCTTGTTGCGATAATTGTTGATAAACGTTAATGTTTTGGTTCAACGAAGATTGTAATGTTAGCGAATGATCTCTTGTTGCGGCAGATTGTAAACGCCATGAAGGTAAGAATAATAACGGTGTATGACAAAAATGTATCAAACGAGAATATTGTTTGAATGTATTTAAAGCAGTAATCGAAACTGGAAAGTTTGGAGTAGCACTACGGTTCTGCCACATTGCATATAATTTGTTTAAATCCTCTGAAAATTTTAAAATTGTGTTTTAAAATTTTATATAACACTTTAACTTCAAAAACAACTTTACCTTTTCCTTTCTTCTCACGACACCGTAAATCTTGTAAATCATGAACAGCTTTTACAGTTGAATCATCGTTATTATGAAAATGACTATTGGGTTTTACATCGCGCATCATTTGACCAATTATTTCATTCCACGAAAACTGATTGTGTTTTATATTTTGAGCTCTGTTATTAAATTTCGTCCAATCTTTTCCATCATTGTGCGATGCACCACTTGAAAATTTCGTAAGACTCTCCATATCCACAGTTTGAAAGTATTGGGAGTTTGTTTGATCCCTTGAAGGGTGTAACTGGTGATGAAATATTCCCAATTTGTGCATTATTACATTTGTCAAAAAATTCGACCTCGAAGAAAGCCATGTACCCAAAGCGGTAGTTTGTTTTATCAACTTCTCAGATTTTTCCTTTGACCAATTATACATATAGATAGTAATCTACGATAATGCAAAGAAACAGATTCTTTTTTAAGAGCATTGCAAGTGTAACTATTTTTTTATATTCCTAGAAGGATTTTATTATATTATCACTTACATTATTACTTTGAACTTCAGCAAGCAATATTCGTTGTCTTGATACAAAATTAGATTCCAATAATAAAGGATTAAATTTCTGTAGCACCTTTTGATCTACAACATGAAAAAAAAGTGAAAGAAAGATCAAGAAAGAAAGAATTTCATTAGTTTATTACAAATCCGAACTTCGTTTTACCTTTTGGAATAAGTAATTCTGGTTGCACCTTTTTATCGAAAGAAGCTTTCCATTGATAAAAGTTTCTAGCAATTAAAATACATTTGGTACAGGATCCTGATACGTCCTTATTAAAATCACATGGTACGTTGAAAGGTAAATCTACATTTTCTTTATTCTCTGGTAAAACATAATTATTTTCATTATTTCTTGTCGATTCTTCATTCAAAACAAATTTTTCAACAAAAGGTTGTCTATCTCTTAGAATAAACGTTCTACAAGAAGTATCCGGTACTTGATTTTGTATCAGAGTTTCTAACTCTCTAATGATTGTAGATATAGCGTGTCTATGGGTGATGATGACTTCATGTTTTTTCACGGATGGAACTCCAAGTTCCAGAGCAAACTGAAACCATTTTGATAATGTAACACAATAAACGCTATGTAATTTTCCTTCTTCGCCTGTTTCGAACCGATCTTGTGCTGCTATTGCTACACTTTCAATCTTCGCCGATGTTTGTCCTTTTTTAGGTTCAACAGATGTCTCCAAAGTGTTTCTTTCAAATGATTCTATCAAAGGGGTAGACAGAAACTTGTATTCCGTAATTAAATCCCAAATAGCATGTTTAACCGCGGAACGCAACTTTTGTCCTAACGTTTCTAGATTAACTCTCCCTTGTTTCCAGATCTTGAATTCAATCAAGGGTGGCGATTCACCCGAGTTTTTGTCAAAAACTGACGTAGACACGATGTTCTCGAAATCTTGAGTGGTTATCGTTTCAGGAAAACTATCATTTGCTTCTTCATTTTCCAACGATTCGACTGATGATTTTTCAGGTGTTCCTGTAATCGACAACGCTATACAGGCGATACCCTTGCTGCCGCTGGAATGGCTCTGATTATATAAGAATATATCCGACTCGGTACTCTTCGTCGTCGGCTCTTCGAGCTGCGAATATTCCTGGAAGTGATATTCTGGTCTGTTATCGGTATACTTTGGTATATACAAGAACTGAAGTATATTTTGTCGTAAATAAAACTCCAAAGCGACAACATGCGGTATACAGTATTTTTGTATGCTCAACTGTATCACAGATTCTGGCGACTTTGGTGGTTGGATAAAATGAACATCGGCAGGAGTTAATTTACACATTGGATTTCGTGCTAACATGATTGACAAAACTTCAAGCACCGCATCATCTAAACGATTTTGCAGGACTTGTACCAAATCTCGTTTTACTTCTGGACCTGCATCAGAAATTCCATGCACCATCAGGATGATCAAGTCTTCAGTTTTGTTTAGAACGTTTGACTCTTTCTCGCTGAAGGATCGAACTCTTGGTCTTGTATCGTTCGATGCGATATTCTCATTTAATTTAACTTGCGACAACGAAACTACACTGTTACTTCTAGAAACAACGAGTTGCTCGTCGCTCTCTGACAATTTATTTTGCAGAGATTTTCCATTAG